TTCTTAGCTAGAGCTGGAGACGCATGGCAGATCAAGCAGAGACACTTCAAATTATTCAAGGTAAAAAATGGTCTTCTTCCCATTCATTGTGAAAATGGTAAATTTGGGTATTTTTAGTACTTGATCCAGAACTCATTTTTGGTTCAGTTGATGGCCAATAACCTATATTTGGAAAAGAAAAAGTCGTACGTGAATACGAGAATTACTTTTTTCCACGACGTTTCCTACACGAATATGAGAATTACTAACGTAACAGCGTAACGTTCTAACTTTTTTTTTATAAGCAATTGTTGCCAGCTATTGTGGACAATTCTGTCTCCTCTAGGGTTGCGGCGAGAACTGTCGCTAAGCTAAAAAGTCGGTAATTCTTGTAATCACCCAAGACTTTTCCATAACAAGAGGCAGCACCTCACACTTCCAAGTATTGCAGATGACTGAAAATCACTGCATTGTTGGTGACAAGCGTGTAGGCTCGTTGGGCAAGGTTGCCCAATATGATTCTCTCTCTCTTCACTTTTGACAAGACTCCTCAATATCGAGTCGACTTTTTCATGACCAAACTCATTAATACAAGGTTTAACGTGTATTTGTAAACTTATAAAAGCAAATACCTGCCTAGTTTTAGCCTACAACTGATGACGACTTGCTGATCAGTTTCTTCGATCAGGGGACTTTGTTATACTCGATCAGGGGACTTTGTTATACTCGATCAGGGGACTTTGTTATAATCGATCAGGGGACTTTGTTATACTCGATCAGGGGACTTTGTTATACTCGATCAGGGGACTTTGTTATACTCGATCAGGGGACTTTGTTATACTCGATCAGGGGATGTGCCTCTAATTTGTCTCACACTACTCCTTACTCTCCCTCATTCTCACTTTCTTTCTCATTCCTCAGTATAATTCTCTCGTTCTAGTGTGGTTACAAATCTTCTTAATTACGAAATTATCCAGTTTGTACATACCATTACTCAAACTCATGTTGATGGATTCGGTAGGTTTAACGAGACTGGTTTCTATAAAGTTCCTACTGTCAAATGAATTACATGGTAATATTGAGGAGGCATTATCCCAGTCAACGCAATTCTTATTATCCCTCAGATGAACAAACAGAGCATTGGATTCCTGGCCTGTCCTAACACTATATTTGTGTTGTTTAAGTCTAGTTACAAGATCTTTACCTGTCTGGCCTAAGTAAAACATATTACATTCCTTGCAAGGAACCTTATAAATGCAACCACCTGTATTGTTGGGGGAGTTCTTGATTAACATTTGTTTAACAGTGCATGAGTATTTAAATGCCACATTGACGTTTCAGGTTTTTAGTTGTAAAGGAATTTGAGAGAAATTTTTGTGAAATGGTAATACTAAGAGATTCTTATGGTCATGGGTGGGCTTTGGATCGGTTCTGTAGAAAGATTTCTTAGTAAATGTTAAGGCATTTGTCTATGAAAGATCTAGGGTACTTAAGGTTCATGGTCTTATTGCAACTATATCTTGCGCTAGTCAGGCCGCACCTCGATTATGCGGTTCAGTTCTGGTGCCCTTATTATAGAATGGATATCAATGCACTAGAGTCGGTGCAGCGAAGAATGACGAAAATGATTCCGGGACTTAGAAACCTTCCATATCAGGATAGGTTAAAGAAACTTAACTTGCATTCCCTAGAAAGACGAAGAGTGCGGGGAGATATGATAGAAGTATTTAAGTGGGTGAAAGGAATCAATAAAGGGGATATAGATAAAGTTCTTATAATATCCGAGCAGGATAAGACTCGGAGCAACTGATTTAAGTTGGATAAGGAAGGAACCGGTTCACAAATAGGGTGGTGGACGAGTGGAACAAGCTTAGCAACTTTGTTATTAGTGCTGGAACCTGGAGAGTTTTAAAAGGAGGCTAGATAGACTCATGGATGATAGAGAGTGGTAGTAACTCTCGACATGAGCTGCCATGCACAGGCCAACCGGCCAATTGCAGACTCCTTATGCTCTTGGCGGTGGGTTATGTGTATACCTTCGTCAGCCAGTGCCCTACCAGCTGAGTATTTCACCCCTGCTCTGTGTGTGTGAAGACGTGTATAGAGTGTATGAGTTACTCTACCCTTACACAGTGGCGTAGCTAGAAAGATAACGTCAGTAAACCCA